AGGGGCTGGGTGGAGTGGGGAATGGGGAGTTATTGTTCCACGGGTATAGAATTTTGGTTTTGCAAAATGAAAACGGTTATGGAGACAGATGGTGATGATGTTTGCACAACATCCATTATGAATATATTTGATACAGCTGAGGCGTACCCTCTTGAAGATGGTTAAGATTTAAGATTTTGTTGTCTGCATTTTACCACAATACAAATAATTGAGAAAATAAGCATACGTTGAGCAGAAGAAACCAGACACAGAGTGCATGCTTTATGATCTCGTTTATCTGAAACTACAGAAAAAGCAATTCTAATCTAAAGTGAAAGAAAGCAGTAAGTGGTTGCTTAGCACCCAGGGCTGGATGTAGTGGATCAACCACTACAGGTTGAGGAAGGAGCACCAGAGAATATTCGAGGGTGATGGGAATGATCTGTATCTCGATTGCAGCGGTGGTTATATGCGTGGGCACATAAATCTGTCAAAACTCAGAAATGTACACTTACACTGGCTGCGTCGTATTGCAGATAAATCATTCTGCAATAACACTGATTTAAAAAAAAAAAAAAGCAATGCGCAAGAATAGCAGGAAATTACTGCATCTGAAAGCAGATCGAGTTCAGGAATAATTTCCTCCATGGCCAGACTAGCGGAGCTTCATCGAGATAAAACTGATGGCAATACCTGCCGCTCTTGGGAACACAAGTGATGATGATATACAGAGTGTGGAAATGGCAGTCCTCTATGATTATAAATGACTTTACAGGTGGCAGGCACATTAAGCTAATTGTAACCAGAAAGTGAAATACAGGAAGCAGTGCTACAATGACTCACAGAGGTGTATGAATTATACCCCAGCTTTCTGGAAGCTTCAGAGGGCTCTTATGTGGCACACCTTCCACCATAACTTCATGGAAGTATAGCCAGGACACATGATACGAGTTTCCATAGATGGGAATTCACACGCCTCGGCCCAGGAAAAGAGCAAAGCATCGCTTCTTGGCAATAGTTTTGTCTGCAGGCAGATACCTTTTGCCCTTTCTGATTCTGGGTGATGGTTAACATTGAAAGCAAAAAAAAGAAAGAAAAAAGTGACTCCTCTTATTGACATATAACTCTGCTTTTTCCTTAACTAAAAATATGGAACAAAAATCCCTTCTGGGGCGCCTGGGTGGCTTAGTCGGTTGAGCGTCCGACTTTCGCTTAGGTCATGGTCTCGCGGTTCGTGGGTTCAGGCCCCGCGTCGGGCTCTGTGCTGACTGCCAGCTCGGAGCCTGGAGCCTGTTTCAGTCTGTGACTCCCTCTCTCTCTGACCCTCCCCTGTTCACGCTGTCTGTCTCTCTCTCTCTCCTAGAAATAAATAAAACATTAAAAAAAAAAATCCCTTCATATGTTGGACTGATCACAAACTATTCCATCCTTCTCTTTTTTAAATTAAATTAAAATTTATTTTATTTATAATAAAATATATATTTTATATATTATAAGTATATATAATAAAATAAACTTTATTTAAAAAATTTTTTTGAATAAGTCCTATACCCAACGTGGGGCTCGAACTCACAACCCCAAGATCAAGAGTTTCATGGTCTACCAACTGAGCCACACAGGCCCCCCTAATTTTTTTTTTTTTTAGTTTTTAGTTTAATTCCAGTTAGTTAACATACAGTGTAATGTAAATTTTAGGTTGCCATCCTCTTAAAGAAGCCAATTTTCAGTTCTATGTTTCACACCTTGATTTTCATTTTTATTTGTATTTTATTGGTCGGTTTATTGGTTTATTGGTTAGTTTCCTCTAATTATAACTTTTTAAGAATTCAATAACATTGTTTTATTTCCTGGAGTCTATTTTTATGATCACTTTCTGCATATGGAAAGTGAGAATTATTTTCTATTTATAGACGTTAATAAGGCTTCCCTTAAAATAAATATATTTTGGGGCACCTGGGTGGCTCAGTCGTTTGAGTATCTGACTTTAGCTCAGGCCATGATCCTGTAGTTTGTGGGTTCAAGCCCTGCATGGGGCTCTGTGCTGACAGCCTGGAGCCTGCTTCGGATTCTGTGTCTCCCTCTCTCTTTGCCCCTCGCCCACTCGTACTCTGCCCCTCTCTCTCTCAGAAATGAATAAACATTAAGAAATTTTAAAATAAATATATTTTGACAAAAATGAATCAGTCTAAAGAACAAAATATTACTTATGGGCAATAGGTCACTTAAGCAAATATTGTGATATTACCACACTGCTCAAAAGCCTAAGGTTTGTTAAAGGCTGTTCCCTTTCCTGCTCTGTTTTGTGGTTCAGTGACAGGGCAGGTGTGGGGTCCTCTGTGACATCTTGGTAAGATGGAGCAGGGCCAGCAAATCAAAAACAACAATGACAATTAGCTGAATCTTCAAAAGCGTGTGCCATGGGACCATACCACCCTCTTTCCTGGGCAACTATCTACTGACCTGCTGGTCAATCCTCCTCATTCACTGAAGATTTTAGGAACAGTCTTATTCCATGCCCCACCCCTGCTTCCTACATCTTTCTTGATGATTTAATATCCTTCTACATAATCTATCTACACCCAGCCATTCGTTTCTTAATCCCTCCCCTTCGATGATCTCCACCTCCTCTCTACCCCAGGCACCGTCATCGTGGGGCTTCAGCGTTACCTGGGCTTCATCATTACCAACAACTGCATCACCTCCAAAATCCCAATGTCAAGCATACCTCTCTTTGACCCACTCCTATCTCTCTAGCTCCTTTCTTTCCCCTGCATCTAAGCAGGTGGCTGGAGAAAGCCCCATATCCTTGCTGCTTGGCCTCACTTTAAATCTCTGATCACAGAACTCCAGGGCCAGCAAGTTCATTGCATTCAGCTCATCATTTCTCTCTCCTTCACAAAACTCCAAGATCTTCTCCCCGACCTCATTCTCAGCTAATGTCCCTTCTGGTTTCCCGGAGATTTGGCTCCATCGTATTACATGTCTGAGCAGCATTTGGCAACACGGATAATTTTCCTCCTTGTCAAAACACTTTGTCTCTATGGCCTCTGAAATCCCACACTCTCCAGGTTTTCCTTCTTCACTGGGCTTTCCTCCTCAGCACCCTCCTCTACTTTGCACAAGTTGAAGTGACCCTGAGCTCCATCCTCTCCCCTCTATCTACTGCACTCATTCCCTAGGTATGAGTATAGACAGTCCCATGGCTTTATACATTATCTATATCTTAGTGACCCCCAGTTTAAATCCCTAGCCTGAATTATCCTGACTTTCTGAATCTGCAGACTCATATATCCAAGTGCCTTTTGACTGACATCTCTGTTTGAAGGTCCAGCTGGCAACTTAACGTGTCCAAAACACGTTCACTTTTTCTTACGCTGACCAAAACGTGTCCCCCTCAATTTCCCCCCATATTTGAGAATGGAACCACCATTTACCCAGTTGCACATGCCAAAAACCTTGTGGTTACCCTTGATTCTTTTCTCTCGCACTTTATATCCAATCTATCTGCAAACCTCTCTGTTCTACCTAAAAAATAAAAAAAATAATAATAAATCCCTAATGTGATTATTTCTCACCACCTCCTTCCTGACCATCTTAGGTAAAGTCACCATCAGGTACTAATTATTTAGACTCCTGCAATCGCTTCCTAACTGGCATTTCTGCTTCTACTCAGCTCTCTACAGTCTTTTGTTCAAATAGCCACCAGAATCATCTTTGGAAAATGTTCTTGGAAAAATCAGCCCACACCCCTACTTCCAATTTTCTAGTAGTTTCCCATCACAACTAGAATAAAATACAGGTTCTGGGGTGCCTGGGTGGCTCAGTTAAGCGTCCAACTCTTGGTTTCAGCTCAGGTCATGATCTTACAGTTCCTGAGTTCGAGCCCCATATCAGGCTCTGCGCTGGCAAGTCAGAGCCTGCTTGGGATTCTCATTCTCTCCTCTCTCTCTACCGCTCCCCTGCTCATACTGTCTCTTTCAAAATATATTTTTTTAAGAAATCCCAATTCCTTATTAAGACCTTCTATGAGGGCACCTGAGTGGCTCATTCAGTTAAACATCCAGCTCTTGATTTGAGCTCTGGTCATGATCTCACACTTTGTGGGATGAAGCCCCACGTCAGGTTCTGTGTTGACAGTGCACACTCTGCTTGGGATACTCTCACTCCTCTCTCTGCCCCTCCCCCCCCCAATAAATAAGTACACATTTAAGAAAAAGACCTTCTATGATTTGGCCCCCTACCACCTGGCCAACCCCCATTCTCTACCATTCTCTGTCTCACTCACCGCACAGCAGGCTCGATGTTTTCCTAACACACCAGGCATATCCCTTGTGCTTGAAGTGTTTTTCCTCCAGGTGGTCACTATGGCTCTCACCTCCTTATGTCGTTCCCTATTCTGCTGAAATGTCCTCTCCTCAGAAGACTCCCTGACCACACTGGTATCCTATTCACTATCCCTTTTGCTGCTTTATTTTTCCTATGTGTTTTTTTTTTTTTTTCGTGAACACTTCCTGCCTGGGCTAGTATTTTAGTTCATTAGTTTGCTTGTTAGCGAGTTCTCTAGTTACATATTCACCCACTAAAATACAAGCTTCAGCAAAACAGGGATCCTCCATACCGTTGTATCCCCAGTTCCTAGAACAGTGCCTGGCCGACAGGAAGCTCTCCGAAAATATGTATTGAATGAAGGATATGCCAAAGGCAAGGGGTGCAAATAAACGCATATCCAGTGGATTTTCATGGGCACCTGCTTCTCCCCACCCCCACCCCCGACCTGTTATCTCTAGGGAGATGGCGACACTTCCTGGGGTGGCGGGAAGGGCATCTCAGTTTCCTTCCTCCTCCTACCTCGTGGGGGAGTCAAGACTCAGTGGGTGGTGAGCTGACAGGCGTCCCTCTCTATGGTCTTACTCCCCAGGCCCCTCCTCCCTAGCACCCGGCGTGCCTCTATGGTTCTTCCTGTCATTAGTCGGGAGGGGGCGCTGTGCGCAGGCGCGGGGTGAAGCCGCGGCGGGGCCGGAAGGAGTGCAGCGGCAGCCTCGGAGGCGGCGGCTACGAAGCTGTCGGCGGCCGCTCCCGGTGACTGAAAGCCGCGGCGACAGAGGCCGCCGAGCCCGCCTGGCGAGCCGGCGAGCTGAGTGGCGAGTAAGTGTCGGCCGCGGGGTGCGTCCAGCTCCTCGGCAGGCCGTGTGAGGCGAGTGGCGTCTCCGCCCGGCGCCTCCATTAAGCCCCGGGGTGGGGGCGGGGGCGGGGGCCTCGGCCGTGAGGGGCGGCGGGGCCGCGGAGTCAGGGACGCGGGCCTGGCCCGGCGGCCGCACGAACGCGAGCGGGCCCGGGGCCGCGCGGGGCGCCGCCGAGCGACGCGAGCCGCGGGGCCGGCGGCGAGGCGGGAGCCACAAAGGCGCGGGCGGCCGGCGGACCCTCCCCCGCTCCCGCCACTTCGGGAAGTTTCGCGGGCCGGTCCTCCGGCCTGCTGCGCGAAGGCGAAAGCGCCGAAAGACCGAGTTTCCCCGGCGGCACCTCGCGGGACGCGGCGTCCGCGGAGCCGAGCGCGGCCTGGAGCGCGCGGACGGCGATGCCCTGTGACTTTGAACTCCGGCGCCCCCGGCCCAGGGGAGCCGGGCCACAGTCCCAAACCCTCCCGACTCGGTTCAGGAGGGCTCTCTTCTCGAGAAAGCTGGCGACTCCCAGCCCTCGTGGGGACATCCAAGTGCGTCAAAATCCTCTGCAGCGCGGGGAACGCGATCCCGTCAAATGTACCTGGAGCGCCGCGCCGTGAACGAGACCGGCGTTCCCGCGTGGGATGTGGCCGAATGCCGTGTGGAACGCTGGTCTCAAAACTTTGGGCCACTCAAGTCTTGTGGGAGACCCCCGCTGAGCGCCTGCGGGGTCCCATATAAACCAGCCAGGAGGCCTTGTAAATAACTCGCATACAGTGTGATGAGTTCCCCGGTACGGCTCGTACTAGGCACTTTGCTAGCGCAAAGAGATTTAAATACTCTTCTGGGGGAGCTGGGAGAGGACAGGGAAGATTTTAGGACAGACCTCAATCTTAGCACGCTTGCCTGAAGACTGCAAAGAGCTTTGTTCTGTTTATTATATAGATAATTTATTGGGTCTGGGGTAGGGAGCGGCGTGAACTTGAGAAAATAGCCCAAGAGAGCTTGGGGCCAGATGGAGTGGCGTGAACTTGAGAAAATAGCCAGAGAGCCTGAGGCCAGATTTTGGATTTCCCCGTAAACTTCTTAAATAGAGGCTAGCGGCAGCAAGTAAACGAGAAGCCTTCCAGCCCCTATGTAGGAATCTGATAAAGGAAGTTGAGATACGAGTCAAGAAAACGGAAAGTTTATGAAATAATGTAGTTGAGAGAGCGTGTTTGCTAACTCCGATAGCTATTTAATGAGCATTCACTATATTCTAGGCTGTGTTAAGATATTTGCAGACCTCAGAACCAATTATCCCGTCTGGCGGTGTTATTTTATCTTCCTTGTCAGTAAGACAAACAAAAACAAAAAACAGCTGGACACCGTTCTAAGGATTTTCTGTAAAACTCTTAATCTTCAATGATGGGGGTTCTGTTATTGTCCTTAGTTTAAAAAGGAAGAAAATGAGGTGCCGAAGAATAACTTTTGAAATCACAGAGCTGGGGCAAAGCTAGAACTTGAACTCCTTTTGGTTCCATAGTTCATGTTCCTAATTATTTTGCTATTGCTGTAAATGATGTTTTTTTCAAAAAGTTTTTCTGGAATATTTACTTTGTGCCAGGCGGTGTGCTATGTCCTGCAGCTATGGAACAAATAAGATGCAGGGTCCTACAATCTCGGAACTGATTTTAGCAGAGGAAATAGAGACTTAATATAGCTTCCCGAGTAAGTGTGGATTATCATTGTGGCAGGCACTTTGAAGGAGTGAGATGTGTTGTCATTGGGTATGTCAGGATAGGTTTGTCTGAGGAAGTCACGTTTAAAATGAGAAACTGAAGGATGAATGCAGTTAATTTGGTCCAGCAGGCTCCGAAAAATAACCAGTCAACCAGAGGAGGAAAGAGCATGGCGTTGGCATGTTCAAGGGACTGAGCCATTGTCCCTGCAGAATGGTGAATGGAGGAGAGGTGTAAGGGGAGGCTAGCTAAGTCAGCAAGGATCATATGAGACACTGTTTCTTAGGCCATGAGATTTTGGCTCTACCATAATGAGATTTTGTGATTTAAAAAAACAACAACAGTAAACCTTAATGCTGTATGAAAGTAGATCAGAGGGTAGAACCCAGAGGCACTGTTGGGGTACAAGAGACAATGGATTCGTGAGTTCATGGAGGAGTCCCTGTTAAAAGATCGTTGAAGACATTGATTTTCTTTTCCCCCTTGTGGATGAGAATGTGCTTGCTTAATCCAATTTCTGAACCAATTTTCGGTTCACATTTGAGGGAAATCTTAAGGTTATATGTTAAACTGTTTAGTGCACCCACTGAAGATCATGAGTTTAACTTTTGGTTTAAAAGCTTTCCTATTGTAGAAAGACACTAATAGGATTTATTTTACTTTATTTTTTTAAGAGAGATCATGAGTGAGCAGGGGAGAGGGACACAGAATTTCTAGAAGGTTTCATGCTCGGTGTGGAGCACAACACGGGTCTTGGTCCCGTGACCCTGGGATCATAACCTGAGCTGAAACCAAGAGTCAGATATTCACCCGACTGAACCATTTTGTCTACATGTTAAAATTTATGCGCATTGCATTTTCTTATTCTGAACTTCTCACCTGCCTTGTTCTTAATAGTATCGCCATCCTCCAGTCACCCATCATCTGGGTCTACTTGGACTCCTTTCTTCCTCTTCCGCAATGGCTCTTTACATACAAACGTCCTGTTGAATCTACCTCTAGTTGGTGTCGTATCTTTACTCGCCCTGCTTACTGTTACCTCTAGTTCATCCCTCACTGCCTCTAGTTTCCTGGGTTTCCTGCTGCCAGACAAATCTACAGTCTTACATATTGCAGTGTGGTTGGTTTTCCTAAAGTACAGGTCTGTGCATTGCTTTTCATTGGTTAGAAAATAAAATTTGAGCTGTGCTTCAGTTATCCATAGATGCATAGCAAACCACCCTCAGACTTAGTAACTTATTAGTCTTATTTGTTGGCAATTTTATGAGTCCAGAGATTGGGAAGGTCTAACCTGGGCTGGTTTTTGGATCCACATGTTGCTAGGAGAGGTGGTACGGTCGGAGGTACTGCTTCCAAAATGCTTTTTCACTCCCATGCATTGGCAGGGACTGCTGGGAGGCTGGACTCCGCCATATTTTCTCTCTCCGGGTAATGTCAGGGCATTCCATGTGGTCGCTCCAGCAGGGTAGTCAGACTTCTTAATGGTGTTTCTGGGCTCCAGGAGCCCAGGTGGAAGTGGCTGAAAGCCGTTCTACTGGGAGCACCTGGGGGGCATCCAGTTCTGAACTTTGGCTCAGGTCATGATCTTGTTCCTGAGAGAGATCTAGCCCTGCACTGGGCGCTGTGCTGACGGCAGGGAGCCTGCTTGGGATTCTCTCTCGCCTTCTCTCTGCCCCTCCCCTGCTTGCAAGCACACGTGCTTGCTCTCTCTTTTTCTTCCTCAAAATAAAGAAGCATTAAAAAAAAACAAAACTGTTCTCTTAAAAGCAAAGTGTGGAACTAGCACAGCATTCGGTTTAACTTACATACAGCTGTCTCGACTCAGCTTCCCTGCCTGCCTGCCTCTCCCAGCTGGAACAGTGTGTATTGCACTAGTACTTTGTACTGTTACGCTAATTTGTAGTGTACTTTAATTGTGTGCATAGTTTCTCTTACTGACTGAACTCACCCAAGTTTTTTGAAGCAAGATCCATGTTAGGTTTTCTTTGTAGCTCCCATAATGCCTAACAACATTTTTATACCCTGTGGCAAGACCACAGTAAATATTTGCTGAACTCTTTAGTGTCTAGAAAAGTCAGAATGTATAAGAAAGCAAAAAAAAAAAAAAAAAGAAATGCCTTAAACTTAATACTTAGTAATAACCTTATTAACTTTTTATTTTGTTGATTTAATATTAACTGTTAGTACAGACTTACAGTAAATGGATATCCAAATAATGGTTAAGATGAGAAGCTGGAATTTGAATGAAGAGCAATAGTCACTTAGAGACACTTGAAAAGCCATGCTGCGAAGACGTGTTGTGGAGCAAGAGATTAACTCCTTAAATTGGAAACCTCTTTTATTACCCCCAAATCAGTGTTGCAGAAGTGACCGACATATTTATGGAGATAACCTCTGGAAAGTGGGAACACTAAAAAAGTCCAGGACCATGCAGTATTGGGAGCATGTGGAAAGAAAAATGGAGATGTAACACAAATAGAAGAATGAGAAGAAAAATTATTTATAACTGAAGAAAATCCTAATGAACTGATTGTTGTCCCGTAAGCCATGTTACCGGTCTCTGGTTATGTATGGCCCTGTTGAACAGCTCCAGTCTCTGACAGAGGAAGATGTTTTTGGAGCCATCCATTCAGCCACCATTTGAGACGCAGGAAATACAGCTATGACTAAGACAGTCAAGGACATGTGGAGAACATGATTCAAATATGGACTTTCTCATATGTTGATACATCCATCCAAGTAAAAGAAGAGGATTTAAAAAATAACTAGTTGTAGGAGGCAGAAGAGAACACAGAATTGTCATCTAATTTTGTTAAATTTTTATGGTATAGTAGTACTACGTATGATTCTCCACAGAATAATGAAGCGATGAAATATATATTAATTTTTGGTTCTGGCTTGGAAGCATTGACTGCTATATTGACTATAAAATGCAGTCATAAATGTACATATGAAAATTTTTACAACACAAGAGGCAAGAACTAAAATACTCTTTTAGGTAGCATTTTTGATTTCTGGATTCCACATTTATTTAACCACTTCCTTCAGCTGTCTGATCAAGAACCTATTTCCACAGGAAAAAATGAAGTTTCTTATAGAAAGAAGTAAAAGTTTAACTGTGAATAGTTATAATAAAACTAGTAAAAAATAACCTGGAAGAGGAAAATAAAGCCCTCCCCTCCCCCCATGTTTGTGTGTATTTTCAACTAATTAATAAACACTGTACATCTATTGTGCGCTTTGATAACAAAATTCTTGTTTTGGT